ATGCCGTAACACACATAAAAAAATAATAATAAAAAAAAAAAAACATACAGACGAATTGAGTACCTCCTTCTTTTGGGAAGTCGGTCAAAAACAGTGACATGGATTAGCTATCATGGAATGTTTTAAGCTCTCAACTTCTGCTACTTAATCTTACTAATATTATAAATGCGAAAGTTTAGATGAATGGATGGATGTTTGTTAGAATTAGAACTTTAAGTTTGTTAGAAATAGAACGGATTTCAATGAAATTTGGTATACACGTAGAGGATAGTCTGGAACACTTAGGCTACACACTTTTGTTTTTTAAATTCAACGCGGGCGGAGTCGCGGGCGAAAGCTAATACAAATGCGAAAGTTTAGATGTTAGAGTTTGGCGCTCAAATTTGAACGGATCTCGATGATTTTCATAGATGTAGTACTATCTAGAAAGGGCAATTAAATACTTTTTGTTTACAATCCAAAGCAATGTTTAACTCACCAGCAGCTTGCGTCTCCATCGCTGCGACGTGTTCCAGTCGGACAGTGAGCACCATTCCAGCGTCTTCCAGGACAGCGAATAGATTCGCCGCGGATTCATATTGTATACGGGTTGCGTTTAACAATGCCCGGCGACGGGCGCCTTCCTCGACAGTTATTCTAATAAAAATGTTATTATGCCTTACATATTTGTTAAAAATAATTCATTTATACTAGTATAATAAAGCGTAAACACACACTTCTTTGTTGCCTAAGATGTCAGCAATTACAGTATATTTTTGAATAATTATTTCTTTAAAAAAAGCCCTACACTTACGACACGCTTTAGGCTATATATTTTCACACCATTAAACTTGGATTAAATATTTTAGATACAAACCCTAATGTGGGAAAGAGACCATATATTGCTGCCAACATCAAGGAAGCAAGATTTTCAAGGTTTGTAATGTCATGTCATTTTGACATTTGCTATTGATAATTTGACAAATGTAAACAATAAAATAAAATTTTCATAATGTCATGCGGATAAAGCCGCACGGGAGCAGCTAGTACTAATATAATAAAGCGTAACACTAACTTCGTGGCGTAGGATGTCAGCAATCACAATATATTTTTTAATAATTCTTTCTTTAATAAAAAGTCCTACACTTACATCACGCTTTAGACTATATATTTTTACTCTATTAAACTTAGAAGACGAGTAAATAAGAAAAAATGTTATGCAAGAAAGGGACAAAAACTATACGCTAATAGCAGTAAAGAATCGAAGTTGTAGTTACTGTAGGTCTAAGATTAGTCCCTTTCTCTTTCCTCCCTTAAGAGGAAAGTATCGGAAGGAAAAGGGGATTTGACGGTGGAGGAGACGCATAGGAAGGGGAAATGTCCTCTTTATGTGCGTCTCCTCCGTCAATGAAGGGAAGGTAATGCTGCAATTGCGGATGTCTATGTGCAGCGGTCGCTTTACATTTCGGTTTATTCAGGTGGCCGCTTGCTCGTTTGCCATCTTATATCATAAAAAAATTACTTAAACTCTCAAACATTTACAATTGAAAGTTGTACAAATAAACAATAAAATAAAGTTCATATATATGTCGCAATCAGAAGAAATTAATTCGAGTTTAAGTCATAATTAGAACACGAGCGCCGCCGAGCGACTTTTGTGAGAACTTAGACTATTCTGAAAATATGTATGGTTGCTAGAACATTGTTTGAAGGATATGATCTTGGTAGATCGATGATATCCTGACTGAGGAGCATTGTGAATGTATTCCTGGAATCCGACTTTACCCATGGCCGCCCACATGTGATCCCGAGTAGTTGTAATTCTGATATCATGCTAGCTCAAGCTGACATATATAAATATATATACAAGTACCTGAACTGCGAGTGGTATAGTGATCCCAGTCTGTGGTATATCATGGCTGCCCTAAACTGGTACAAGTACTGGCGCGGGCCCGGACTGAGAGGACAGTACTTGAGCGCGTGCTTGAACGCCTCCGCCACCTCCGTCACCTCCTACGTATACATACCAATTTAAGGGCCTGTCCCACCACTGGCTGATAGAGGCTCAAATAGCGAAAAATGACGTCACTTACAGGAATTTCCATCACATATTTCACACGGTAGATTGTTATAAAACATATTACAATTTTGTGGGACAGGCCCTAAATCTATACTATTATAATAAAGCGTAAACACACACTATTTTGTTGCCAAAGATGTCAGCAATTATAGCATATTTTTGAATAATTCTTTTATTAATAAAATAATTCGAAATGAACTAGTGAATGAATGAATGAACGAGTGAATGAACAATAGGTTTCACAACACATTAGTATTTCAATGACTCAATAAAAGAAACACTGAGTGAACGAATTATTGAATGAACGAAAGACTGAGTGAATGAATGATTAGTGTAACTCACATTAGTATACAAGCCAGGACAGTCCTGCATGAGCACGGCGCGCGTGTACAGATGGCAGGACAGCTCCCAGCAGACCAGCTCCCAGATGGAGGCGGCGCCGCACGACTCGCGAGGACCAAGCAACTTCAGAGCTGATAGGTATAGCTCCTCCGCCTGGTTGTACAGACTTCTCTTTTCCGCACTGTAAATTATATGTTCTATCTCTCTCCCACTCGCAGTAATCTATACACTAGCTGTTACCCGTGACTTCTACTGCCATGAAATGAAAATGTAACATAGGTTATATTTTTTTTTTCAATGATAACGTAACTTTTTAATAGTTTAAGAATAAAATCGACCCAGCAAGTTTTGAGTTATTTCAATACATACAAAAATACAAATCTTTCCTCTTTATATTAATACAGATATAATTAATTGGTGTGTCTGTATGTAATATCGAAAATATTCCAGATTTCGCAAAGATGATGTATATGCTTATAACGGAAAGTTTTTGTCTGTCTGTCCTCAAGCCGCGTTTTCAATCTCCGAAACGATATATACGATATAGACATAGACCCACATATAGGCTTTTTTTTTAATTCCGCGCCGTTAAAATGGCGGCCTATCTCTGAAACGGGTGGACAGATTTCGACGTGAATTTAACTGGAAGGTAGCTGGTAAAAGGTAGTGTTATAAGACCATTTTTTTTTTAAATATCGCGCTAAAGAAGTTTATAGGCGACTCGTTTTTATATATTTATAAGATGATTTTCGCTCCTCAGATATTTCTTTAATTGGATAAAGAAACGATATTAAGTCTACTTCTCTTGACAGTAAAAACCATAGATTCCACATAAAAGATTAGAGTTCCATAGACTAAAAATCAAAGAAAAATATATTTTTATAACTCACCCAAATCCACCTTGATCGCAATGCGCTTTGAAACGCATATATCTTCCTTTATTACAATATAATAATGCTAAATTGGGTATATCATTAACTTGTTCAAATATCGCTGTCGCTTCGTCTAAACATTCTGATGACCTTTTGGACAGATTATTAAACTGTTTTAGTAATAATTTAGCTTTAGGATCCTTTTGGTCAGGTTCCTCTACGTATTTCATATAAATTTCTGAAAAAAAAATACAAAAATAAACTGTTTAACGACTATAATTAGTATTAAAAGTGTTATTTTAAGACTTGGTGTAATAATCTAACTAATATTATAAATGCGAAAGTTAAGATGGATGGATGTTTGTTAAAGTTTGTAGCCTAAACAGCTGTACGTATCTGGATGAAATTTGGCCTAGATGAAGAAAATGGTGTGGAAGAACACATAGGCTTCTCAATTTTGTTTTTTATTAATTACACGGACAGAACCGAGGGCAGAAATTAGTGTATAATATAAGTAAGACAATAAAATACAGTTTTTACATCGAGAACAGCTAACAGTATAGATATATACAAAAACTAGCTGTTCCCGTGCGGCTTCGTCCGCGTGAAATTATGTAAACTTTATTTTATTGTTTAAATTTGTTAAATTCTCAATTGCAAATGTCAAAATTACCGTTACCATAATAACCTTGCTTCCTTAATGTTGGTAGGTTGTAGTTTATGGTCTCTTTCCCAATTTATTTACCCCCTAAATTTAATAGCGTGAAAATGTATAGCCTAAAGCGTGACGTAAGTGTAGGGCTTTTTATTAAAGAAAGAATTATTCAAAAATATATTGTGATTCCTGACAACCTACGCCACAAAGTACGTGTGTAAAGTGTGTGTTTACGCTTTATATTAGTACTAGCTGTTCCCGTGCGACTTCATTCGCATAAAATTATAAAAATTTCATTTTATTGTTTACATTTGTCAAATTATCAATTGCATATGTCAAATGACATGACATGATGTCAAACCATAGCAACCTTGCATCCTTGATGTTGGCAACAACTTATGGTCTCTTTCCCACTTTAGGGTTTTTATCCAAAATATTTACCCCTAAGTTTAATGGCGTGAAACATATAGCCTAAACCGTGACGTAAGTGAAGGGCTTTTTATTAAAGAAAGAATTATTCAAAAATATGGTGTAATTGCTGACATCTTAGGCAACAAAGAAGTGTGTGTTTAGGCTTCATTATAATAGTATAGATATAAAATATATATTTACGTTGTGCATCATTCATGAAGCGCACGGCGAGCTCGTTGCAGACGGAGGCGAGGCGGCGCAGCAGCTCGGGCCGCTTGTCTGCTGCAGCGTGCCCCGCGCACCCCGCGCGCCGGTAGTGCCCGCACGACTGCAGCATCGCCTCCGTCTCGCTCGACGGCAGCGATATATCTGATCAACCAAAAACATTCAATTTTGGTTGAAATTCATTTATGTTCTGATGAAATGTGATTTCAATTTATGTTCTGTTGATATGTTATTTCAATTTATGTTCTGTTGAAATGTGATTTCAATGTATGTTCTGTTGAAATGTAATTTCAATTTATGTTCCGTTGAAATGTAATTTCATTTTATGTTCTGTTGAAATGTAATTTCAATTTATGTTCCGTTGAAATGTAATTTCATTTTATGTTCTGTTGAAATGTGATTTCAATTTATGT